ATGCTCTATAAATTTAACATGATACAAATCTCACAAGGTTCTCAGCCTTTGATGAGTTCTCAGAATGACCCTGTTAACACCATGCAGAAAAGCAGAGTGGTCAAGAAAGAAAGTAACAGATGTCAAGGACCTGAGAACAATGAGCTTATGTGGTTTATTCATGGAATAAATCTGTATCTCACAAGAAAAAAAACTTAGTCATACACAAGAATGGCAGAATACAGTAGGTACTTTCCATACAGTTCTCTGGACTTTGGCAGCATAGGTTTCTTGAGAGAGTTGAGGGACACTAGATCCACTGGTCCGACAGTAGTTCTATCTGGGCCCACACTTTGATGACCTCCTGATGGAAGATAAGGCTGCAAAACTGCACCTTCCTTCCACCCATGCCCATCACAACTGCACAGGGTGTCACTATTCATAGCAGGGCAAAGTGACTGCAAAATGCCATCAGGGCAGCTTTTTCACACTGACTACATGCTGGCATAAATGATGACATCAGGTAAGGGAAAACAAAGAAAGAAGCTTATTTATTTCTGTTGTTACAGAAAGCACTGCCTCCAGAAACACTGTAGCAATGGACTACAAGGGCATTCTTACAGATCGTTGGGAGACAAAATCATTTTCTTCTTGCAATATGTGAGCAGACAATTGTCTCTCTGTATCTCAGCCTTCCAAATGACATTGCTTCTACAATATATTTGTTCCAGTCTCTCTGAAGCACTGGCTAGTAATGCAAAAATCTTAGAAAAATGACTAATTTTGGCCTCTACAAGATGATAACAGAACAGAGCCCAGATCTAGTACCATTATAGCTGAATACAGAGATAAAATTACATCCTTACATTGCCAGTACCACAAAAGTGGTAAAAAAAATTAAAAATCATATATAAGTCACCTCGACCGTGACAGGCAGGAGATGTTTCTAACATAAGTAGTATGACTCAATTTCCAATGAATGAAAAGGCTACGAAGTTTTGGAAAAATATTTTTGCTTTGGAAATAACATTCCTCTGCATCAGACTGTAGCATGTGGGTTGACTCTTTTTGATGGAAGTTATTAAAAAATACCAGATCTCTCAGTGAGAGCTACTGGGATCATTAACCCCCCCAAGAGATAACAAAATATTGGAAGGCATTTCTTAAGTCTGTTTTGAAATTTAATAGTGTTGTTTAAATTAGATTGTTAAAAATTGATATATGTTTTTCCTCCTGGCATGTAATGATTTCAAAAGAATTATAACTAATTGTACATGTTTTTGTCTGGTAGCCTGCTCTTGCTTGAATAATGCACATGAGATATATTGGATTTTTGACTTGTATTCTTGCTTCTTTAGATTCTTTGTTTCACATTTGCCTCTCAGATATGTAAATTCACAAATAAGCCACCTATACTTGGCAGTCCTCAGTTTAATACATATTTATTATGAAGAGGGGTTAAAAAGTCTAATGGTGGCTCTGACATGTTCAAACATATGCCATAGCACAGATCTCTTAAACTTAGACTACACCTTGCTATCTAGGTTACTAATCCTAGAATTATATTAATAGGCTAATGTAAACAACTTTCACACTTATGAATCTGTGTTAACTAATTTTAGCAAACAAACGTGGTTAATTATTTACACGAATTAACAAAATCATCTTTAAAAAGACTCTAAGCCTCAGAGTTCAACAGGTTATGGTGGGACTTTTCTGCAATATATATTAATTCTTGTTTCTGTTGAAATGGTAGTTGACTCCCACAAAGACCTTCAGTGCTGAGCTGAAGAGACCAGTTGTTGGTCATCCCTAATTTGGTGCCATGACCTCCATGCAAGACAGACAGAAATCTGAAAGACCCCAGAGACACCAGCCCCTTCAGCAGTCCTGCCTCCTGGGAAAAGTGTAAAAAAGGTCCTGGCATAAATGAGCAATGAGTTAGCTATGTTTAGGTAAAACTTTAATGTGGACAAGGAGCTACCGGAGCTTTTTCACATATTAGCAGATCCATAAATTCTGGGGGTTGGATCTTGACTTCTGACCTTTGTAAGGTTTCAATTCAAAGCACTTAATGATTTTGAAGGGAGAAATGGCAATTCTGTCAGTACAAACAGCAAATGGAATCCTACTGCAGCTTTCTAGTCTGTTTGTGTGCATGGTACTGTAACCCTTTTCTCTTTGCAAAACTAAGTAACAAGAGGAAACTAGACAGGCTCTAATCAGCACTTTAATTTAGTACTCCTCTGACAAGGTTTTGTGCATAATAAACGCTTACTATGTGTCAAAAATACTTCACTAAATAAACCTAAAAAAAGAAATCAAAGAACTTTTGAGCTGATTGAATGTAGAGTTCTCAGTCTCAGAAGAGTCTCTAATAAAGACCAGCAAGTGTGTTCCTGCTTAGGGCTACCTGAGCACTACAGGTTTTACATGGCAGGTCTAATGTGGCAGCAGCTCTCTGGCCACAGAAAGCAATGCACGGCTTTCCCAGGCATTAACCTGGGGAAGGCTGTGAGAAGATCAGAGAAAAGCATGAGAAACAATTCTTATCTTCACTTGTTGCACCTGTTGCTGTGAACATGTGGAATATGTTATAGAGATTTATTTACCAAAGAGTGGTTTCTTAATTGGCCAATGGTGATGGTATTTAGATTGAAGGACCAATTGGGTCCACCTGTATCGTGATTGTCTGTAAGAGCGAAGAGTTTCTTAGTAAGTATAGTATAACAAAGTGATTTATCAGCCTTCTGAGAACCATGGAGTCAGTGGCAATCATTACCCCTTTGGAGACGCCCTGTGACAACAGTCTAAAAACTGCAGTCAATTACATAGGGATGCCTGGAGAAGTGTGCCCTGCAGAGCATATTTATAAAATATCCCTCCTGCCTGAGAATGTGGATGACACTGTATATTGAATAATTACTATAAATGTATTTCTCAAACAGCAAATTTCAAAGAAAAGCATACATCATATATTAAGAGCAATTCAGCTTCAACATATGAGTTAAAGACTAATAAAGCCCTTCAGCAGAACATTCACAGAGTATGGAAAATACCAAAACATGAGCCAGTTTGTGGCAGCCAACAGGGACATATCTTGACAGGCAGTGGACTGTGTTTCTTGTTCAAGTGATGGTAAACTGACAATAGGCATCACCTGCTCCAAGAGTACCCACTGAGTTACTTTACCTTGGACGATCCTGCAAATGAGTCAATTTTGCTCCAAGAAATCAGACTCTGCAAAGTGACACTCCATTCCCTCAATTCATTAATTCCAGTTAAATTTTAGCCCTCTCTGTTCACACTGATGCATGGCAGAATAATTGTATATTTTCAACTTTACAATTACTGAGTCTCATAAATGCCCAAGATAGCACATTCTGTGGCCTGAAGTGAAGCATTGCTAAGGCAAGAATCAACAGAATTCAGTTGTTGTGTCAGGAAACAGATTAGCCCTTATGTCCACTTTAACAAACATTGACTCATATTGTAATTAGCCAATGTACTAACATTGAAATCTCTAAATTGCAGGTATGGTCAAGGCTTTGTTGAAATGTGGGATCCAGAATAAAGAAAATCCATAGCTACCTCTGATTCTAATAAGCTTAAATAGTGCAAACACTTAATTGGTATTTTTACAAATTCTGAAATACAGAGAATATTGTTCAATAACAGAAGTTCCAATTAAACAACTGCTTTTAATTTTATTGAAGACAAGTGTCTCAAGTACAAGCATTGCTGAGATCATTATATGAACAAATTTGGGTATGCTGACATAAAGGGAAACATAATTGGCTCAGAAGGAATTATAAATTTCAAGTTCTGATAAGGCATGAAAATGCAAATGGTCAAGCAAAAAGAAAAACAACCTGGACTGATTTTCAGGAGAGTTACTGAAGGTGAAAAAACTCTTTTGCTCTGTAAACCAAGTTCATTTGGCATGAAAATAATACAATTATAAAAATAATTGAATCTAAATTTCTGGGTCATATTTCAAATCAGATTTCATTTGAAAAACTGAGAATTTTTATTTTTGGGTTGTTGTGGTATGTATTTGAAAATGACTACACATGCTGCAAAAAGCTATGCAGTGTTAAGCAGTTAACAGATAAGCAATAAGAAGGGAAATTTCTTTTAGCATTATTGGAGAAGTATTACATTTTGTAACATTTTAATTAAAACACTGTTATATTTTTGTCCTTTAAGATATTATGTTTCCTGAAACTTGATCTTATGATGAGGGTGCTATTGGAACTCTGTCTTTTAGAGACACAATTTGAGCTCATGTGACAGTTGTTTCAGTCCTTACTTAGCCAGATGAATACATTCTTTTCAGCACTATTTTCCTATCTTTCTCTTATAAAGCTGATGCAATCAGATACTCAAACACTTTGTCTTGCCTTGCTTTTCAGAAGTGGATTATCTGGGTTAGGAAGTCAGTTCACAGCTCTAGATATTGTTTATTCTTCTTAGTAAGTGCGTAGAGATATCTCCTATGAAGCCAACAATACCTTCAATCGTCCATAAATGAAACAATCTTAAGTGAGAATCAGCAGATTAACACCATTTGGAAAGATGCTTTGGGAGTCTTGCACATCAAAAAATTTTCTGTTTTAGGAAGAAAGAAAACCTTAACTAAAGCTTTGGCTTATGAGGTTAAAGGTAGCCAATGATTTATTTAGTTCTAAATGTGTCCCACTTCAGAAATTGCTATCATTTGCTATGAAATGCCATCTAACTTGACAAATAAGGAAAACAGAAAATAGGGGGGGGGGGGGGGGGGGGGAGACCCACCCTTGGCAGAGTATAGTTAGGATTAAGATTCCAAAGCCAAGATTAAAGTTCTACAGTTAATTCACCTTCATGTCTTGGAACATGACAGTTTATATAATGCAATACAATAATAACCCTTATGTCTTGGAACACACATTTACCTATGAGACCATTCCAGTGTAGATTATGCTATTTTTTAAAACTGTTTGCCTTAAGTGCCATAACATTCCTTTTCATTTCCTTCATATTTAAACCTAGATAACTATTTTAAAACCATCTGTGGTTTGTTAATAAAACTAGTCAATAAATTTGTAAAACTCTCTTTCCAGACATCTTTGTGAAAATTCAGAGTTCATATGTTCAAAGTCAGCCATGTATCTAAGTGATAAACCACAACTGTGAGGTTCTCTGGTTCAAATATCTGCTTGCAGCAGCGAGCAGCTTTTGAATTAGAGCAGCAATTTTCCTTTTATTCCCCCAAAACCAGCTGTAAAAAAATGATAACCAGCTTTTAACTTGTCATCCAAAAGTATTCCCTTTAAGCTGAGTACAGCTGTGTGATACAACTCCTTGCACAGGGGGATTGAGACTGCGATGCAGCACATTCCCGATATCCTCTGTCCATCAGTGGCCTCACAGCTCCCCTGTGAAGAGAGACAAATTCTAGGGCTGCAAATGCATCTCTAACTCCCACTTCTTCAACATTTGGGGAATGCTATTTGCAAGTGTAAAGCAAGATAAATCTTTTCAGGTTCCAGCATTTAATTAAGCTTTCAGCTATCTTTGTGAATGAACTGAAGAGCATCTAATATGCATGTCTACAGGGAACAGAGCAGGAGTACCACTCCTTCTGTGAAGTTGTTTGCTATCAGCTGGAAAAAATCTCAACTCAATTAGTCTCTCTCTGTGTTTAACTTCCTTTGGAACATCACATCTCCTATAGCTGAATCCCAATCATAATAAATGTACTTGAACAAAAAAAAAAACTTTCTTCCTCTGTGATGGCCTGTGTTTCTGCTAGCAATTGGGTTTGAGCAGTGGCAGGATAAGGTGGCTGTGGTATGGGAACTAACAAGAGAAGGATGATGTCAGAGGATTTAAGAAAAATTTTAAAAGTGTTCAAGGTTGTCTAGCAGACCAGAGCAGAATTGTTCTGATTTTTTTCCCTTTTCTACAATCTCTTATTAAAAGTAAATGCATGCAGGATTCCCAAAGAGGGAAATAACTTTAGTGGTTTAGTGTCTAATTGAAAATGGTAAGAATTTAAAAAGGTAAATCCCAACAGTGGTTCACAGGGACCACTGGCAATGCTTTACTCTACAAGAGAAACCAATAAAAAAACCCTAAGTGCCATGAAGGATTTTCTTTTGTCTGGCTGGTTTTACTGTGCTTCTGCAGCATGGTAACTATGTGGGCAGAATGTTTTTGGAACAGATGATCTTTCACCACCCTATAACCACCCAAGCCCCCATTTAGTACCAAAGTCGTGAATGTAAATAATCCAGGTTACAACATTCTTTTCCTGCACTATGCGTCAGCTGTGGGACACTAATGTCCCAGAAACAACTTGTAAGATGCTCAAAAGTCACAGTCACCAACATGTTTTAGAATAGTGCTATCCTTGCCATGGCAAAATACGAATCAGTGTGGCAAATGTCAGACATTTGTACTTCAACTTTTCATGCCTCAGTACTTGGAAGAGGAGTTACACAGTTTTCCTGCATGTGTAAAATATCACCACAAACCATTTTCAGCTGTCACAACCTAGTCAAGATTGAGTCTATCTTCACCTGTATTGTTCCAGCTGGCTTCATTAAATATTCAACACAAGCATTCAAGCAAAAGGAAGTAAAGAATTTCCCTCTCTAAAAGGTAACTACTAAATTAAGTATTGCAAATTCAGAGGAGTGAATGGCCTATTTGAAAATAGCACAGCCACCAGAAAATTAGCAGCATGAGCATCTTCTAAGACAGTTGTCTGTACACCGGGGCAGGGTGACAGGCTGTGGTGGGGACACAGTTTACCAACTGAGTAAAGAGCACATTTTCCATTAGCCACTGTGCAAAGCCGCCTGCAAGCTGCAGTAATAAATGCCTAAAGAAATTTTCTTTATAGGTCAACTCTTTTATTTTTAATAACAGGCTCAAAAGCCACTTCTTCAGGTTTGCTGTGCACACATGTAACTGAAGATTAAGGCTATTTATTTATGTCCTTTAACTTTTAGTATGAAACATGAGGAAGATGTAATGTGCACTATTTCCCCAGTTCTCCCAATGCTCCACATCATTTACCTATGCATAGACAAATCATAAATTAGGCCCAGGAGAGTAATGAGACTGACATGAACAGCAAGGGTGTACACAAAGAACCCCATTCTATGAAACGTCCTTTGGCTTCCAAGGCCTCTGAAAGCACTCACATTTTCATACTGCTTTCAGCTAACCACGACCAATGGAAGCATGCCATTATCTACCAAGAAAATTATTTTTCACAGCACATTATTTTTCATGGTATTTTCAGCTCTCGTGACCTTTTTCTGAGCGTGCTCAGCTTCGACGAGATCCACTGCACACCTCTGAGGGGGCCTGGAACAGGAGCTGCGGCCCCTGTAACACTAGAGTATGTGGCGGGCTTGTAATGGCCACACAGAGAGCTGCAAAGCATCCCCGGCGCTGCCGAACACTTCCAACGCGGACAACGCCGAGGTTGTCCAGCCCGCTCTCCCTCAGGGCGGCCGCCGCCGCCGCCTCCTCCGCGCCACAACCAGGCTCCGCATCCCGGCAGCCACCGCGGCGCGGGACACCCGCCACACTCCAAACTACATGTCCCGGCGTGCACCGCCAGCGGTCCCGGCTGGGCGCGAGCGCGGTGCACGCTGGGACTCGCAGTCCTGTCCGGCCTCACCGGCACCCCCCGCTTGCCGCCACTCTCCCGCGGCGCCTGAACTTCCCGCGCACGCTCTGCGCCACGTACGCTCTGACGTCGCATGGTGTCACGGGGCTGCACGCGCCTCCCGCCCGCCCGCGGACCCAATCAGCAGCGCCGGCCTTCGACCCGGCGCCGAGCGCGAGCGGCCGCGCGCGCCTCCCCGCCCCTCCCGCCGCGTCCGCCGCAGCTGCCGCCCCCGCCCCGCCGCCCCCGGCCCGGCCCGGCCCGGCCCGGCCCCTGCAGCCGTGGGCCAAGTGCAGCCGGCGAGGCCGGGAAGACGCCGCCGCCGCCTTCTGCTCTCCTCCTCTCCCTTCCCCCCGTGCCCTGGCCGTGTCCGTCAACATGGCGAGCGCCTCGTACCACATCTCCAACCTGCTGGAGAAAATGACATCCAGCGACAAGGACTTCAGGTGAGATCCGCCGCCGCCGCCCCTCCGCGTCCTCCGCCGGCCCCGCGCTGCCCCTGCGGCCATTGAGCGGCGGCCCCGGGCCTGGAGCCGCGGCCGCCCGGGCGGGGGCAGGTGCCCGGCGGCGGGGCCGGTGCCGCGGGCCCGGCTGTCCGCGCCGCGGCTGCGGCGCTGGGTGCGAATCTATGGGGCTACCCCGGGAAGAAAGTCCCTGTGAGGGGAGGCCCTCTACTCTCTGCCCGTGAAGGACGGGGCGCGGCGGTGCGGGCAACGCCGCGGCCTCCACGCATCGTGGGCAGAGATCTCCAGCAGCCAGGAGAGGCCGAGCGGCCGCCAGGTTTGCTGACTCGCGTGCGGACGGGCCAGGGTGGAGGTCTGAATTCCCGACCTCGCAGATGCTCAGAAGCCGAAGGGACGAAGCCCTGAGCAGCCAGCTGTCGCTGATGCTGCCTTGAGCAGCAGAGGTCGGATGAGGTGACCTCCCTCGTCTCTTCTCAGCTTCAAAAAACATGGATCCTGTGATTCTACAATAGAAGCAGGAAGGGATGGCCAGGAGGGCAGACTCAGGAGGGTGCAGTGGAGTGCCACGGTGATAAAGGGGCTAGAGCATCCCCCTTATGAGGAGGGACTGAGGGAGCTGGGTGTGTTTAGTCTAGAGAAGACAGGAGGCTTCATTAATGCATATAGTTATTTCAAAGGTGGATGCCAAGAGGATGGTGCTAGATGCTTTTCAGTGGTGCCTAGTGACAGGATTCAGAGGAATGGCCATAAAGTAAACCACAATAAGTTTTATCTCAACATGAGGAAGATCTTTGTTACACTGAGGGTGGCAGAGCACTGAAACAGGCTGCCCAGGGAGGTCGTGGGGTCTCCCTCTCTGGAGACTTTCAAACCCCACCTGGACATGTTCCTGTGTCACCTGCTCTAGGTGACCCTGCCTTGGCAGGGGGGTTGGACTGGATGATCTGCAGAGCTCCCTTCCAACCCAGACGATTCTGTGATCCTAAGGTCACATCCTTCTGGATGCTGCATCTTTTAGACAGTGGGGTTTTGTGCTCCTCATGTAGTTTGGTTCTGCCCCTGTGCATCCAGAGAGAGAAGTCCAGTTAAGTCTTACAGGGACAAGACTGGAATTTAATTTGAGTTCAGGATCTGTCACAGGAGCACTACTTTTCATTGGATCATTTCCTTGCTTTGTAATAAATTAATTGCAGATTAAATGTAAAATACCAGAAAAGGAAATAATACAAATAAACTGTTAAAAACCAGCAGAGATAATACATTTACACAGTATTTCTGGCAAAGCATTAGGTTTAAAAGAATTACATTGTTTTGCTATTGAGTGCAACCAGAAATTCAAGTTGGAAGGCTTTACCTGTCAACGAGAGAATATCAATACAGACAAGGAAAAGGCATAAAATACACTTGTTATTTGTGCTTTGCTGCAGCATCACAGTGCTTAGTTTAAAGGAAAACAGAGGTGATGATATATAGAGTTGGGTTTTGAATAATCTTGTTAGGTTTTGAAAAGTGTTTTAGTACTGAACACAAATTTGATATAGGATTTTTGTGTCAATTTCTTTGAGATTTTAATATAATTATATTACTTGGAGAGTTCAGACTAGAAATTTTGGAAATTAAAAAATACTGATTAATCTAAAAAGAGACAAACTAAAGTTGCCTGATTTCTTTAAATTGTTCTGAACTAGACTGAAACATTTTTTTCTTCTAAATGTTACAAGGTTTTTTACTGTTTTCATACTAATTTGTTTCTGTGATTAAATGAAATTTCCCTTTTGTACTTAGGGGAGGATGACTTACAGTAAGTTCCAGTGGATTTGTAATAATTTCTTATTTTTATGATTTAAAAACTTTCTGTATAGAAGGGGTAGGTTAAACCTATCCAGTGCAATTGTAGCAAACACCTTTTTTTCCTCCCAGCTGTGTGTAATTAAAACATCTTGTGTAGTTCCTTTAGTAGAGTACACTTCAGAAGTTCTGTTCTAGTAGCTTTGAACAACTTTGAAATTCTCAAATATTAAAAAAAAAGTCTTAACATAGATTAAAATATAATGTTACAAACCATAAAAAATGAGTGATGATAGACTGGCTGTTATGTAGTAACATTTTATGAAACTTTATGTGTATTTTCATAATGGATAAAATACTATTTATTTCCAGTAATTGTAAGTGCATTTGTTCTTAGATCACATCTGTTTGAATAGGGACAGTGTAATTATCTTGTTGATACCAGGGAGCAGAGTGTAGTTCAACTGTTCAAGTAAGCAGTCTATTGTAAAAAGTAATCTTTTTTTTTTTTGGATAAACTGACCTGTCTGATGCAGAGCTGGAATATGATTGTCCACATGGAAGCTTGGGCTTAAGTTCTAAAATGGACAGTCAGGTAAGGTGGCAGGTTACAGTCTGGTTGTGGAAGGAGTGTCCTCACTGCAGCAGGAGAGTGACTGCTCTGAGTACAGCTGCCTGCTTTGCACCAGGTAAAGATTGATGTGCAGGCAAGGGGAGTTATGACTAGGTGTTTGGGTTGGTTTGCATGTTTCAGTGGAGGAGTCTACCAGGAGAGTGTTGTAGTTGAGTGCAGAGGCTGCTGGTGCACCAAGGATGTGCATGCTCTGCTTAGTTTAGGAACAGACAAGTAGGTGATGAGTGGACATGATCTTCTAAGGTTAGGAAATAGGAGCTATTGGCCAAGGAAGTGAGAGGAGGCGATTCAGTTTTTAAGAAAGGAGACAGTTTTTGAGTGTTCTAGTACTGTATGACTTCATGTATATCCTTAAATTAGGTGCTATCTGTTACCTTTACTTACCAAGTAGCCTTATTCATTACTGTGCTTAAAAGCTGATGCTTTGCATCCACAGCCTGTTTTTGTGCACATCTGGTTCCTGTCAGACTGCAGGCTTGCTTCAGTGGGACTGTTGGGAGTGAGTGAAAAAGGGGTGAGGTCTTATCTTGGAAACACCTTGAGGCCATTAGACTGGAATTATTAAAAGACAGGACAAGTTGAGGTCCATTATGTGAGGTTAGGCATCTGGCATTTGTGATGCATGTTAAGATTATGCAGAGTCTTGGCTTTCATTTTCAGTAAAAAGTAGTATCTGGCATGTCAAGCTGCAGAGATAACCTTCCAAGCATGACCTGAGCTAAATTGATGTCTGCTTGAGGCTGATGTGCCTTAATGTCACCCTTAACTGTTTAACTACAAGCCCTTGTTTGGAGTTTTGAATGGGGGTTGGTGTCAGTACCAAAGCCCATAGGATTTGTAATTGAGAAATACATCTGTATTGCTGCTTCTGAGAAAAGAGGGCACTTACAAAAGAAAAATGGATTGTGAAACAGACTTCAGAAGGAAAAGAAACAGAAAGCAAAAGACAATATTTTTGGAAAGTAATTTTTCAGTATGTTTTTCTATTGGTGGATATGACTGTTATTAAATAGTAAATTAATTGATATGAAATATGATTTTATTTGCTTGATCTCTCAGTAATTAATTTTGTTCTTTGTTGTGGCACCCTGTATTGAGGGCTGGATAACTGATCAGCTCTGTTTTCTGAGCTGTAAACAGGCTAGTGTGTACAAGGCAAGAAAATGAAAAACACGTGGAACATAAGCTTAAATTTTATTTCTCTCTTCATTAATTAAAGTTTGACTTTTGTGAATTTTATGGGAGAATGTTTGAGAAACTACATTTTTCTGCTTGCTTAAAACTTGTTTTAAAATGAACTCAGAGCAGAGATAATTTTTGTAACAAAGTTAAAAAAAAAAACCTCGTTTTTTACAACATCAGCATAGCTCATGGAAGGACTGTTTAAAATCTGTGAAAGTGTCAGTTTTTCTTTGTGGAGACCATGTGGAATATCATGTAAGTGCTGGAAGTAAAATATGTAGCTGTTCTCATAAGAGAAAGGTGATGACCTAACTCAGTTATTATCCTTTTCAAATACATTTTTTCTTCCTTTTTATTTTATAAATGCTGCTTGCATCACAAAACAGACAACAGTAACTCAACGTTAAATGTGATTTGTTTGATAACAAATTATGGAAACTGAGAATCTTGAATTCTGAGCACTGTGAATAACCCATATCCCTTTAGCAATAATTATCTCACATATTTTGTCAGGTTTATGGCTACTAATGACTTGATGACGGAACTACAGAAAGATTCCATCAAGCTGGATGATGACAGTGAAAGAAAGGTGGTGAAGATGATATTGAAATTATTGGAAGATAAAAATGGTGAGGTGCAAAACTTAGCTGTCAAATGGTAGGTATTCTTTTTCTATGATGTAAAGAATTGTATGACGACTGAACAATATAAAACACTTTTGAAAACTCAAATGACCACTGCTTCACAAAATAATTTTGAAATTTATGTCCCCACAGGAACCCTTATTCTTGTAGACTACCTGCCTTAATTGTTGTAACATGCAAAGCTATATTTTGTTGACATTGGGGATTAATATTTGGGGTTTCGGGTACCAAATAGCACATGCAGTCCTTGCTGGAAGTATTTGAGTGATGTGCTTGTTCTTTGGTGATAACGCTTGATTGCTAAATAGATACTAAAAGCTTATAATTCAGTGTTAGTTGCCACATTGATACTTGATGGTGAGACCTTAGATGATGTACAGGGGAAGAATTGTAGTATTAGAATTGTTTTCAAGCAGACATGAAAAGGTAAAGATATGGCCTTGGTTATCAAACGTGGAACTTACCTATTCAATAACAGTCAGAATACTGATGGTTTTACAAGTTTTACAGGAACTGTAAATGTTTTATGGGATCAGGGTGCATTTACTTGCATTTCAGAGACTTCTGTTGCTTCACTGCCCCCTCTTCCTCACTTTATTGAGCTTTGTAAATGATATGACTTTTCCAGAGCGTCCTTTGAAGAGGAGCTACATTTCCTATGACTTTTTGTGTGCTTTAAAGAGGGCTTCTCTTAAGAGGCATATAGTGTTCCTGAGAATGCTTCTTGCTTGTAAGCTCAGGTTTTTTTTAATCCTCCATATACACTACTTATATTCCATGAGGTACAGATTGAAGTAAACTTGGTATGCAAGAGCTTGAGAAGTTTCACGTTATGACCAGCCAGGTTTGTTTTAGCTTGTTATTCTTTGTAGTTTGCCCTGTCAGACTAGCAGAGCAGAAAAAGCCTGTGTGTACCTCTGCTTATGTACTTAGAAGCAGTGTTTGCTTCAGCTTCTGAAGTGTTGTAAGTGATGGTAACCAAAACCTTGCACAGTCAAACTGGTGTAGGAAGTCAAATTTCAAGCCAGATAATAGCGATATTAGCTATATTAGCACTATAGTTGTCACTACTTTTTCCCTGCTGTCACTAGGGATGCGGTGTTGTTAAAATGTCTTACTCATCTCCTTTTCATAACAACACAAAATACCCTGTTTCTTTTTAATTTAAACTTCTGGAATGTCTGAATTCCTTATGGTTTCATGTCTTTGAAACAGATTGCTTATACTCAGTGAGAAGAGCATATTGTTGTGAAACTTGGCTCAGGCTTAGAATTGTCTTTGTGTGCAATAGCATTTTGTGGAAAAGTTACATTTTAGCATACATGCAATGCTAATTTCTAATGTACATCCTAAAGTTGTTGTGAAGTTTAGATTAATGCACATAGGCACATACATCACAATCTTTAATGGCAGTGTAAAAATTTAGGATCTAAAGTACAGGTAATGCATACGAAAACATTAAAGGTTGCAGAGGAAAGAGAATGAGAAAATAGATGACTTCTGTGTGTGCACATGTCCTGTTCCTATTAACAGTTCTTCAAATTTTAAAGTTTACTTTGATATATTGGTAAAACTCTTGGATTTAACTAATGGGACTAAATCTCTTTCAAGTTTGGAGTGTTTTTGAGAAATCCAAATAATGTCAAGGAACAGTGTTAAATTTACTTTAATGGGACAAGAAACATCATGGAAAAGTTTTTAGGTGAATTGTGAACATCCTTGTAGAAGGTGCACACATGTACATTCTGGAATGCATCAAGTTGACTTGATTTGGTTTTTGTGTCCCAATCACTTGCAGCTATGCTTTGAATTAAAAAAAAAAAAACAAGCCCATGACTCTTTTAGAGTATTTCTTCTTAAAGCAGCTTGTACTCAAAAAAAGTCATGACAGTTATAAGCCTAATGCTGCTGCTTCTTCCTGTTTGCTGTTCTTGTACTCCTTGTTCCTTTTCTCACACTGCTTCTTACCTGGTTTTGTCACAGACTGGTTTAGGGACTCAGTTTTCTGGCTTAGTGCTAGCTTCCTGCAGTTTAAATGTTGGTAGAAACACTGGTGGGGGTGAAGGATGGGAGAGGCTGAACACTACTAAGCTGTAGATTTTTAAGGCAGTTCAAACTGATCTGAAATCTTCCATCTACTACAACACTGGGTGCAAGCCTGATTCATTGGGAAGTTAATTTCAGCCAGCATATTTTTCTTGGCTCTTTTAATTTTAAATATTTTGTGCTCTTGTGTATTTTTGTTAAGCATTTCTTGGCACTTCAGCTGAGGAAGGCATAAACTGTCTTTAGATCTCTCTTAATTGGAATGCTGTGGTGAACTGTAGAGACTATCAGCAGTAACTTTCTTCAGACCCTTAATGACCATTAAAGTATAAATTCCGTCTCTTAGAGGATTTAAGACAGCCCAATGTACTTTTCAATCTACACTTGAGATAGATTTTTTCTTGAGGAAGGAAGAAGTTCCTTGTTAGGGGAACTTCTTCAGGTAGATCAATGGAAATGCTCTGAATAAAACTCTTGCATAAGAATCAATCTTTGAAGATATGATTCTCAAGGTCACTGAACACAGCAGATTTGAAACAACTTGGAGCAACTGTAAAGGAGTGTTTATTTTTAGGCAAGTGTAGCAACTAGTGAGCAGTGTTCCTGGTTTTGCCTTATCTGATGCTTGCTTTTGCACTTGAGTAAAAGGAGCTCTATTGGTTAAAATGCTGATGAACTTTTTTTTATCTCTACAAAGCACACTGGTGATTTTGTTCTTGCTCCTTTCAATTACCGTATACTGGTTTGGGGCAGGATGAATTATGTAAAAGCAAAACAGAAGTCAGTTTTTGGGTTCATAGTTATTTGGGTAGCTACTTTGCAAAATGGTTGTCCAATTTCTGAATAAAAATGAAAATTAATGAGCTGAATTATTAGTCTTGAAGTAAAAGTTGGCCTGTTGTAATCTTTGACCCTACAGAGGGGAACTGAGTTTTAAGTTTTTTACTGTAGGCAGTAGATGAAACCTATGTCAGTAACAACAGGTTGTTTACCTTGTTTTTCTTAACTGCCTGTAAAATATTAAATGTATTTTTGTTGTCTCCATTTTTTTGAAGGAATAGTTTATGATTTACCTGATAGTCATAGGCTGTTTTACCATCAGCCAGTGTGGAAAAGGCTATTCTTACAGCATATCCTTAGTTTATAGCTAAGTGTAGTCCAGCATGGTATCCTGTGCACCTTATAGCAGCAGTAGTTACATTGCCTGTGGATTGATTAAGATTATGTGCATTCAGGTGTAGTCAAGCAGTGTGGTTTGTCTAAGCGTAGGTATTGTGTTGGTATTGCTTGTTCCTCATTGCTGATAATCTTGGTAATGCTCTGTTGGCACAAATTGCACATTGTTTCATGTGTTCAGTGTTGCAGTTTAAGGATGAACTGTTTCTCATTTTGAAGACTTTGATTTCCTGCCATTTAAACCTACACATAGAAATTTTTATTAGTTCACACTGTGAAATCTTTCCTGAAACCAGTTAAGAAGCCAAACATACTCAAATCTATCTAGAGTGAAAAATAATAGGTAGGATTACAGAAAGCACTTTCAGTGATTCCTCTGTGTGGTACTGTAGTTTCTCTGCATTTATCAGCCAACTTCTCTGGGCAGTAGTTCAACATAGGGAGCTCTCCCTGACGCTGTGAGTCTGAGTCATTAGTGTGAGCAGGATGATGCATGCATTGGCTGCTGTGTGGCTGATCCAGTTCAGCAGCTTTAAAGCATTTTGTATGCTTTGGTAATACACTACTGCACATCATGCTGTACTAGTGATTATACAACAAATCAAGTTGTGAATAATGTGGGTTTTTTTTTTTTTTTTAATTTGTGAATTTTAATTTTTCCTTGTAAATGTGCTTATTCCATAGCTGTTAAAATACGCCAGTTGGAGATTATAATTGATTATATGTTGGTGTTCAGCTTCCTAATACAGAGCTATGCTATGAACACCTTTATTTCCAAATACGTGTAACTTAAAGGAGACAGTGTGTTGCTGTTTATTTCCATAGGCAGCTAAATGAGCTTTGTAGAGAGAACGTAGACACAAATTATTGGCTAGTGAAAGGGAAAAGATTGAAGAGCACTTAAAATGATCCAAAATGGCCTTCAAGTATATAAAATACATGCTTAAGGGCAAAAGCTTTGTAGTCAGAATTGATTTGATGCAAGAAGGTTATAGTTTACTTTCAATTTCTGATAAGATTGGTTTGTAATCTGGGACTAATAATAAGGTCTATAAGTGATACTTCCTGATTTTGAAGACCAGAAAAGCTTGAGATAATATTTTGCAAAATTAATTTCACAATTGTTATGTCTGCTTTGCTGAATAAATAGGACTGAAGATGTTGATTCAGGTAAAATATGGCTCAATACTTTCCAGAAACTGCAATTTATAGTGTTTGTTAATATCAATCCAGTAGTTTGGTCATCTTTAAAACATTAGCAAAAAGGGTGTTTCTGATTCTTAGCTGAGATGAATCTGATTGACTGGTCTTCGCTGTGATTATTATAATTACTCAGAGGTTGCATTTGAAAAATAAGCATATTTCAATCAAAAGAATTCAGTAGTTATTCAACAGTTCAGGTTTAAAACATGGGATTTTTAAACTTGTGTACTGTAGTCTGTTGACTAGGCACAGGGAATTCAATTTCTCTGGACTACCATGGAGTACCTTGGAATTCTATTGGTTTCTGTTTGAGCTGATTTGTACTTGTGTTGTTAGCAAAACAATTTACTATGCACCAAGAGTAGATGCATGCAACAGTGCAGTGAGTATCCACTGACTAGCAGTGTTGTGTATTTGAAGAGAAACTCTATATATAGATGTGTCAGTGAATCACGGTGAAGGAGGCTTGACTGAAGAGTCAAATCAAGTTGTGAAGAAAGCTGTGAACTTTTCCTGCAACTGGAGAAGATGTTTCAACTGCAGCCAAGATGGCTTGCTGTATTTGTGTCTCAGAGATAATTATTGGTAATAATCTGTGTTTGCAAATGTTTGTGTACAGATTTATCAGTTTTTAAGTTAAGTTAGAGGCAAAAAGTCTTTACCAGGATTAATAATGCATTATTAATTTTACATAATTGAAGCAGTAAAATTACCAGATTAGACTGGCAATATGGTCCTCCAAACCCGTCCCTAGTCTCAGGGCTAGTAGTCTTTAGTGGCTGTAGAGATAGTTTAATTGAATTTAAATTTAAATAATTAAATTAAAGGGCAATGTTAGGTTAGGGCATGAGGTCTGACTGCTTTTAAGGAACGTCTCTGTCAGAATTGTTAATTTCTGCAGAAGCTGCTGAAGCAAGTAAGAAACCATCCGTCTTCATTTCTGTGCACTTAAAGGGCTTATTTTTATACCTTTGATCAGATACCAGTCAGTATCTCAGTTAACAATTCTCTTGAGATTATCTGTATGCTGTATTTTCTAAAAGTGTAACCCCAAAGTTGTTGTTGTATATTTATTTTAAGGTTATATGTAAATCTCCATTAAATACTCTACAAATTGAATAATTTGCAATCTTTCTGAATTTGTAGCATTGATGTGATCATAAAGCATCAGTTTCAGATGTCTGTGCCCTAGTTTGATTAATCTCAAATTAGTTCCAAGTTCTGTGTATTAACAAAATGGAGTTGCAAATGATACTTCAGTGTCTGATTTTGGCAAATATGTTTTGCCTTTGCTGCCTCTCTGTCCACCCTTCCCCTGCCCACACCCCCCACATGTATTTTCAGCAGGTTTTACCACATGAGTTCACAGATGAGGGGGAAGGAGAGAAAGATACCAAGCAGGTTATGGTTTGTGAAGGAAGGCATGGAAAGTGCTAGGTGTGATTGCTGTGGGAATTGCATATTCCTGGGTGTTAAGCTAAGTGTTGTGCCTCAAGTGCAGACATTGTTCTGAGTTCATGGGAGGTAAGGTGTTGTGAGCATGGCCATCAAAAGAGAAGCTCCAGGTTTGCCTAACATGGTGACAGACCACAGATGCCAAAACTTTGACCCTTACTCTGGTTACTATAGTACAGTAAGTCACACATAGTGCTTGAGTGCAAGGGCTTGCTTGTCTATATCCTCCTCCTGTTTTCTCTTGCTTTATGCCTTTTGCTTCTGCTAGGTAATTTTTTATAATAATTAGGTCTTGCCCCTGTACATTCTTGGACATGGGGAAAAAGGGTAGCAGCAGTGGGGTACATACAACAGATTGGGGATGGAAGATGTGTTTTGGGTTTGTTTTACTGCATAGAGCTGTGACTGAACCCAAATGTTATATAGAATAAAGATGCAGTAATTAAGAATATTGTTTACTTGTCTGTGAATTATGCAGACACTGATGGTCAAGCATGTAACCTGATGGCTCTGGCTAGGGTAATTTTTGTTACAAATCTTGTGAATTGAAGACTAAGAAGGACTGTGGTCTTGAGACTGAAGCAGAACAGCCATACTAAACGAATTTCCAGCTCCAAATAAAAAACATGTACTAAGCAAGTGTTTTGTTACTAGATTTATAGAGGTAAGTCCAACCAGATGAAGGTTTTCAATTTTAAAATTCTGCTTTGCTACCAAAACCGACCTGAAGTTTTATGACTTGAATGCAAAATACTGGAAAAATAATGTTGCCAATTTAATACTCTTCACTTGTTTATACAGCCTGGGACCTCTGGTGAGTAAAGTGAAGGAGTATCAAGTGGAGACCATTGTAGATACCCTCTGTACAAACATGCTTTCAGATAAAGAACAGTTACGTGACATTTCAAGCATTGGTCTTAAAACAGTGATTGGAGAACTTCCCCCAGCTTCCAGTGGTAAGGCATTTTGTTCTAAAGACTTTGTGTATTTTTATCATTTGCTGACTGAAAAAAAAAAAAAATTAAAGTTGGGAGTTTTAAAGAAGAGGATTCAGTTTATTTAGCATTGGAACTAGTTTCAGGATAAAATCATGGCACAGATAGCCTTTAAGTTTCTCCTTCTCTGACTATATTGCCAAATTTTACTAGCTTGACAACTTTTTTTTTTTTTACTGAAGGGTTGCATTAATGTGGAGTAGAAACTTAGAGAATATGAACTTCAGCATAACAAGTTGTAAAAGGTTCTATTTTAATAATTGCCTGGTGGAGCACATCTAGGCTGCAGTAATACTAAATCTCATCTTGGTCTTTGGTTAATAATACACTTAAAAAATTATTACAACTCCTGTATTTTTCTTTAACCATCTGATTTCTTGTCTCACTTTCTAGGAATTGTATTTCTGGCAGTTGCCTGTTAAATTAGTCAAAGTCTTACCTGTAGGTTTAAATGAAGACAGTCTTTCCTCTGAAAAAGACACTAATGTTGAACAGCTCATTGGTTAATAGCATTACTTTTTTACTCAAGTGCTTTTCACATATAGTGTAGGATATGAATGAGACTAGAGACTAATTAAAAAGGCTTTGGAAATTGCATTTTTAGAGATTGAGGTCTCTTGAATTAAGACAAAAACCCTGATTTTGATATCCTGTTTGAAAATTGACATGTAAATCTTGCTTCTAGCAAGCAGCAGTGACATGCATAAGCCTTACATAAATAACTAATTTTAAGTAAGTTGCTTTAAGCTTTTACTCTTTCGTTTGCTTACACAAAAGAAGATTTTTGGGTGGAGGTAAAGCTCAAACAAAAACGTAGGCAAGTCTTCAATATAATTAATATTCCTAATATAAAAATAAACAACATGTTATTTTTTGCTCCCAACTCAAACACAGATTGTTCTCTTTTTCTTAGCCTCCATGGTAACACATTAGACTGTCCACTTGTTATATTTTACTTTTAGTTGTAGTTAAGAATGAGCCATAATATATATAAATTAGATTTACTATAGGTTGGAATGATATTAATTTCACATTGAAATTTGCAAAAGGTAACTCAAAGAATTTCATGCAGGTGAACATGAGTACTAACCACTGGGCAGTCATTACCATGACAGGAGTTCCTTCTCATAATTACTTGAAATAATGTTAGACAATTAGAGGGAAGGGGAACTATGAAGTTGTTATAAAGACATTTTTACTTGTATTTTAAAACACTTCAGATAGAAATTTTCCTCCTTTCTCAAATGTTTCAGGAGTATTTCTGCTACTTTTAAGTAGCTTCTTGTGCAAAATAATTTTATTTTGATTTTTTTGCCGTAAGAAGTGGCTCCATCTGCTGCTGTGCTTTTCCATACCGTATGGTTTATACATTAATTTTTACCTATAGTCCTTTCATTTATAGACGTCTTGTGGCTTTCACTTTCCATTGCTTGCTCTTCCAAAAGCAGTGTTCTGTTGTGTATACCTTCTGGGACAAGAATCCCTCCTGCTTAACATGTTTGTACATAGATAGTCTTTTCAGCTCTAATGCAGAGCATACGTGATGTCAGCAGAGTGGCTGCTTATGCTTGTTTTATTCATTGGAAAAAGCTTCTTTATGTAGATTGGGTTGCTTTCCATAGTCACAAACATCATCTCTGGTGTTAAAAGCTGTATTTTTTTTTTAATATTATGGAAATGCTGAGGTTTTGTTGTACTTTCAGGTTCTGCATTAGCAGCTAATGTTTGCAAAAAGATCACAGGGCGTCTCACTAGTGCTATAGCCAAACAGGAAGATGTGTCTGTTCAACTGGAGGCGCTGGATATCATGGCTGATATGCTGAGCAGGTAAACATCCCTCTTTTAATATGCTGGTGAATGCTCATAAATACTACTTAAAGCTTGAACTTCAGTTTTCCAAATGTTAAAATTACATTATTCAAAGTGATATGAAATAATATGGTAATATTATGTGTACATGAAACTTAATTTAGAAAAAAATAAGTGAATGTATTGAAGATAATTGGTTGATCAATTACTAATGTTCTGAGAACTGTAGTTTTAAGCTTATTTAAGTGCTTATTGTTTTGAAGGTATGTTTTAAACTGATTTCTTCTTTTAACAAATTCTAAAACCTGAAATTTTAAAGATTTGATTGGAATCTTTGTGATGTTTGTGGGAATATTTGAAGGATTGTTTTACAGTATATGAACAAAGTTATCTAGATTCAATTGGTTTTGAGTTTGTGTTTTGTCTGTTTTAAGGCAAGGAGGACTGCTTGTTAACTTCCATCCTTCAATTCTGACCTGTCTGCTCCCCCAGCTGACCAGCCCAAGACTTGCTGTGAGGAAAAGAACCATCATTGCTCTTGGTCACCTGGTTATGAGTTGTGGCAATATGGTTTTTGTTGACCTCATTGAACATCTGTTGACAGAGCTGTCTAAAAATGATTCCATGTCAACAACTAGGACCTATATACAGTGTATTGCTGCTATCAGTAGGCAAGCAGGTCATAGAATAGGTAAGAAAAATATATTAATTATCTTTTACTTTGAAGTTTTCCATGGGAGTAATTACTTAGCTATTTTTTTTTCTCTTACCAGGTGAATATCTTGAGAAAATAATTCCTTTGGTTGTAAAGTTTTGTAATGTAGATGATGATGAACTAAGAGAGTACTGCATTCAAGCCTTTGAATCTTTTGTTAGGAGGTAAGTTATTCATGGGTACCTATTTCAGGCTTTCTTAAGATCTAATAGTGTGTCATTTGATTGTAAGTTGTCAAGAGATAGCCTCCTTCATACAAAACACTCTCGCAAGCTTTGAGCTGGCACAGTTTCTATAACTCTGTCTTGTAACTTAACTCTTAAGCAATGTGTTATGTCTGTATTCTACAAACTTTCTACTGTGCCATTGCTACTTGTGCAAACAAGATGTGGGAAGCATTCTAATAATACTTGTGTCCAATAATGGTTGTAAAAAATTGGTATCCAAAGGCATAAAAGCCCTTCGCAACCTTCCAGTCTTGTAGATCCTGTTACAAAGTGGCATTACCCTTTCTAACCTTACCTTTGAATTTCTGTAGTTCAGAGGTATGCCTTGATGTTGTCTTGGCTAGTCTCTCCAAAGTACAGTATGCAGCATGAAATCTTTTAAGAATATTTTAGTACTTCAAAGTAATTTGACGATGATTGTATTTTTATATTACACAGGTGTCCTAAAGAAGTTTATCCCCATGTATCTACTATTATAAACATTTGTCTTAAATATCTTACTTATGATCCTAATTACAATTATGATGATGAAGATGAAGATGAAAATGCTATGGATGCTGATGGCGGTGATGATGATGATCAAGGTATGTTCTCTTTTTGGTTTGGGGGAGAGGATGAGCCTTTGATCCTGTACCCATCTGAGAAAATTGGTGTGGGTGGTAATACTCCTGAGTACCAGCATTTGAATGACTTGTGTACTTTCATTCAAATTTTGTACTTCTTTTAAACATGGCTAATGAACTCATTTCCTGGAATAAAAGTATGAGATGTTGATGCTGGAGATCAGTAATTCTGAAAGTGAACATAAAATACAAGACAAGTATTTTAAAATACCTGAAAGGTGGAAAAAGGCAGAAGCATGTCACATGACATAACTAAAGTGAGAACATCAGTTAATGAATTGAAAATACATATACAGCATGGGAAAGGCTTCTCACTACTTTCCACTATAATATATTGGTACCTAATGCATAAAATCAGAATAGATTGAAAATTACTCAGTATTTTTCGGTAGGATAGAAGTGTTTCAGACTGAAAGGTATAAGGTATTTTATTGTTAATATGGTGTCAAGCATTGCCAGATGCAAGCTTTGTGAAAACTTGGACACGCAAGTAATCTGAACTGAGGGCATAAAATTCTCATTACTTAAGGAAGGAGTAAGCTACATAGTTGTTGCTTTAAGACCTGAAAAATCGATATTGCTTATTTTATACTTTTTGGTTTTTTTGGGGGCGCTGTATAGTTTGATTTATTTCTAGAAAGAATCTTGATCAGCTAGTATTCACTGTTGCTTTGTTGTTTATGTCATGAATAAAGAAGAATATGCTTTAAATCAGTAGTCAGGCTGGAAATATGATGGGAAGCTCCTTTTCCTATTTGCAGTTTAAATTAATATGTGTGGAAGACTAGCGTGAAAAAATTGGCTGAGAATTACAAGTTGAGCTATTTAGAAGACTTTTTATGTATATGGTTTTTAATGTAATTATGAACCTATTTCTTCGTGTGTCTTATGCAAAGAACCCAACTTTTTAATTGTTTAAAGAGTGTGATCTTTTTAATTGTTTAAAATAGAACTTGATGCTTTGCTTGTCTAGATTTGAACATGTGCATAATTTATTTTTTCAAGGGAGTGATGATGAATATAGTGATGATGATGACATGAGCTGGAAAGTGAGGCGTGCAGCTGCTAAATGTCTGGATGCTGTGGTTAGCACACGACACGAAATGCTTCCAGAATTCTACAAAACTGTATCTCCTGCTTTAATAGCCAGATTCAAAGAACGTGAAGAGAATGTTAAAGCAGATGTTTTTCATGCATATCTTTCTCTTTTAAAACAAACTCGACCTGTGCAAAGTTGGCTTTGTGATCCTGATGCAATGGAACAAGGAGAGACACCTTTGACAATGCTTCAGAGTCAGGTTATTTCTAAAGATTTTTGTTATCTTTGAGAAGACATGTTGAAATTTCACCCTGTTCATAAGGATAGTTCGTTCAATGTACTTTATCATGCTTTCTTCATACACAGGTTACAGTTTGTTCCTGTAGTACTAACATAGAGGGCAAACTGGGTAAACTGGCCCAAAAAAATGCAGCAGTCTTAGAAACTGAAATTGACTCATACAAGTGTGCTTATTTATTTCAGTTGTTTACTCATTGCATGTCTTGTGTCATTTAGCCAAATTGCCAAAGCAAAAGTTACTTTGTGCTTTCTGTATCCAGACATAAGCACCAATGATCAAGATAAAACTTGATCTGCTGCAACAGATTTTATTTGCAGAATAGAAAGGATAATGCTGAAAAACTTAATTGAAGTGAATTATTTAGGTGACTTTTCAGTTGTTGCTCTCTATAGTTTCAATAATGCAAATCACCTTTCAAAGCTAAATTACTTTTTTTTTTGTAAAGCATTTATTTTGAATCTTCATTTCTCAATGTTTCTGCAACTTCTCTAGTTCTGTAGAGAAATCAGTGTTAGGATGCACATATTTCTTTATATCCCCCACAGTGATCAATAATGAAAACAATGCCAATTATTGAATCAATTAACAGATGTGTGATGATTACAGGTTCCCAACATAGTTAAAGCCTTGCACAAACAAATGAAAGAGAAAAGTGTTAAGACTCGTCAGTGCTGCTTTAACATGCTGACTGAGCTAGTAAATGTGTTACCTGGAGCCCTAACACAGCATGTTCCTGTACTTGTACCAGGTATGAGAAATACAGCATTAACTTAAATACTTACTAATAAATGGTATGGGAAGTTCTGAAACATCAAAATATTGAAGTCCCAACTGTGCTTTTTGCAAAAGCTTTGAAGTGTGACTTCTGTTGAAGGAAAATGGCAAAATAATCAGCTGTTATATATATCCATATAAATATTTTATTCATATATTTCCGTTAGTCTTGAAAAGAAGATTAAAGGGTTTTTCTTCTTTATTAAATAAAAGAAGTTAATTTGATTCTTAATTACAAAATCAAACCGCCTTCTTTTCCAAACAGAGAAAAATATTTTCCATAGTTTAGCTTTTAAAACTTAAAATGTTGACATTTGAAGTAATGGTGAAAAGTAAGGTTGGAAATGTTAAAGGTTCAGAATTTCTTTATAATTAAGAAAATGTCATAAACCATTGAATGGCTCATGTCTTTTGATGGAGGACGCTTAATAGCCAATTGGTTGAATAAAGTGATGAGAGGGGTTTGGAAGCATTCAGAAAGATGGGGAGCCAGAAGGCGTAAATTCAGTATAGTGGCCTTCCTTTGGAATTTTTGAAGTGTTCTAGCAGACTATAAATACATGCCCTAAAAATACATTTTTTGATTTCTTCCAGGAATAATATTTTCACTGAATGACAAATCAAGTTCTTCTAATCTGAAGATAGATGCTTTGTCCTGTTTGTATGTGATCCTCTGCAATCATTCTCCCCAAGTCTTTCATTCTCATGTTCAAGCATTGGTACCTCCAGTTGTAGCTTGTGTTGGTGACCCATTTTACAAGATAACATCAGAGGCACTTTTGGTTACCCAACAACTTGTAAAGGTTATTCGTCCTTTAGACCAGCCTACTTCCTTTGATGCTGCTCCTTACATCAAAGATTTGTTTACTTGTACAATCAAGAGATTAAAGGCTGCTGACATTGATCAGGAGGTGAAAGAAAGGGCAATATCTTGCATGGGTCAAATAATTTGTAGCCTTGGTGACAGTCTAGGCACAGACCTGCCTAGTACACTTCAGATCTTTCTAGAGAGACTGAAGAATGAAATCACTCGGCTAACTACTGTGAAGGCAATGACATTGATTGCTGGTTCTCCTTTGAAAATAGATTTGAGACCAATCCTTGGGGAAGGAGTTCCTATTCTTGCTTCTTTTTTGAGAAAGAACCAGCGAGCTTTGAAGCTGGGCACTCTTTCTGCACTAGATATTTTAATTAAGAATTACAGTGACAGCTTGACAGCTGCCATGATTGATGCAGTCCTGGATGAGCTTCCACCTCTGATTAGTGAAAGTGACATGCACGTATCACAGATGGCCATCAGTTTTCTGACAACGCTAGCTAAAGTTTATCCTTCCTCCCTGTCAAAGATTAGTGGCTCCATTCTCAATGAACTTATTGGGCTGGTAAGATCACCCCTACTTCAGGGTGGAGCGCTTAGTGCCATGCTAGAATTTTTCCAAGCTTTGGTTGTGACTGGTACAAACAATTTAGGCTATATGGATTTACTGCGCATGTTAACGGGTCCAGTGTACTCACAGAGCACAGCACTTACTCACAAGCAGTCTTACTATTCTATTGCCAAATGTGTCGCTGCCCTTACTCGAGCCTGCCCTAAGGAAGGACCAGCTGTTGTAGGTCAGTTCATTCAAGACGTTAAGAACTCGAGGTCCACAGATTCCATTCGTCTTTTGGCTTTGCTTTCTCTTGGGGAAGTTGGGCATCACATTGACTTAAGTGGACAAATCGAGCTGAAGTCTGTAATACTGGAAGCATTCTCTTCTCCTAGTGAAGAAGTCAAGTCAGCGGCATCATATGCCTTAGGCAGTATTAGTGTTGGCAATCTTCCTGAGTATCTGCCATTTGTCCTGCAAGAAATAACCAGTCAGCCTAAGAGGCAATACCTTCTTCTGCATTCCTTGAAAGAAATAATTAGCTCTGCTTCAGTCATTGGTCTCAAACCATATGTTGAGAACATCTGGGCCTTACTCCTGAAACACTGTGAATGTGCAGAAGAGGGTACAAGGAATGTTGTTGCTGAATGCTTGGGCAAGCTTACATTGATAGACCCAGAGACTTTGCTTCCACGACTCAAGGGATACTTGGCATCAGGTGAGGAGTAGTAATGCATGTATGTGTTGAAGCAGATGGCTTTATGATATATGTTAATAAATAGATCTAGTTTTTCAAATTACTTCCTTGTATATTGTGTCTTGAAGTTTTGCTCCCCTTCTCCAACAATGGAAGTTTAAGGTTTTTTGTGTTTACTAGAAGTTGTTAGTCATACACAAGAATAACTTGTGTTCTGCTTTCAGGCATTATATTTCTGTTAACAGTGTTATGTTTTATGTTTAAGACAGAGCTATAAACTTGAAGGGGGGACGAGCATGAACGACTAAGGGACAAATTAACAAACCAAATGCAACATTTTGACCTTTTGGTGTAAATTACTATTTTCCTAATTTTCAGATAAGGATTTTGAAGTTTTTTAAGAATTAGGAAAGATCTTTGTGAATAATTCATTAATCAGTCTCATATCAAGAACTGTATTCACGTGTCTTCTTCAGGTGCTTCTGCTGTAAAGGGGAGATTTTTTTTTTGTAGACCAATGTGTGATCATAAATAATCTGTTATAATAGGCTTATTGCTCAAATTATAAGGAGATAACATTACATGCTTATTACAATGTTATAGTATTTCCCCCCTGTTTAAAATGTTCTATCTGTAGGTTTGAGTTACGTATTGCATTGCTAGCAATAAACAGCATTTCTTTTTTGCTGTTCTTGACAGTATTAGATGTCGAAGAGTAATGAGTAGCACTGAGCATGATTTAGATTCTGTTGTTCTGTTTTAATCTTGCATGTTCACACTTTTGTTTTGTATTAGGGTCTTCATATGCTCGAAGCTCAGTTGTTACTGCAGTTAAGTTCACTATTTCTGATCACCCTCAACCCATAGACCCACTCTTGAAGAACTGCATAGGTAAGTACTCCACTTATACTGACAGCTTCTATGTTTTCAGGCAAGAGAGTTACATTTAAAATTTATTTCTTGTATTACCAGAAATAAATATTTTGAAGATACTAGAATTATCTGCTAATAATAACTATTGGAAGAGTTACAAGATATTTCCATAGTAGCCAATTATTTCTATTAACACTAATTTATTTGAGTTCTGAGCAGTAAAAATTGTGTCATTAAAAATTCTATGTATTGACTTTGTGATGGGCAATACAAGAAGCTAATGTTTTTAGTAGGATGGGATCCAAAAGCTGATTTCCTTTCCCATGTTTTTGCCAAATTGTATCAGTTTAATGTAGTAACATGTACTGTATTTACCGAGAAGTGTGGTCTTGGAAATATTTGATATTCAGTCACTTAAAACTTGTATGCTTATGTGAATTATTCTGAGTATTACCACATTTTCAATTGTAAATACAGGTTGTTATTTTTCGTAATGCTTGTAGTCAGAAAGCATTTGGAATTTTGTGTATTTTTATAAGGTAATCAGAGCTTTAAGTGTAACATCAGTATGACACAGACTTTTGCAATGCTGTAGCTTTTTAAATTTCGCATTTGTATAAAGATGATATGAATAATTTCTGCTTGGTTAATTACAGGTCTAAAGATCTGTAAGAATCATCTGTGCTTCTTAACCTCATAGGAGGGGAAACATTTATGCTGAAAAGCGTAAAGTTTTGTAAAGAAGAATGTTTTTATTTATAGGGAAATGAAATCAGTTTCCTGTGTGTTATTTTCATCACTAAGCTTTTTTGGTTTTTAAGTAATATATTCAAGAATTATGCTTGTAGGTTTTTCCCCCTCCCCTGAAGCTGCTTTGCCCCTTTGGTTTATGGAAATATTTATTGATTATTCAATCAAAAAGCTATCAGAATCTAGTACTTTAAAAATCTCAGTCATTTTGAGTTTTGTTACCCAGCTTTTTGGTCGGTATAAGAGTTACTTTGTCTTTACACCTTGTTGGTTTTCTCCTTAGAAAATGTTCATTTTTCATGGAAGTTGCTACAACAACTTCACAAACATTGAGGATATATTCATGCAGTCATTTATCTTAACAAGACTGCGTTACGGAAGTATAGAAAAATGTAATTTAAAAATGCCCAAAGGTAGGGGGGCATGGGAGAGGTGGTGCTACATTAATATATACTGAGTAGGCCAATTTTATAGTAATTAAGGTATTTCCAGAATATGCCAGTTTGAGGGTTAAAAAAGCAGTATGTTAGTAGTTTCCTTAAGAGGTGTTCTGGAATTCCTGAACTGCAGAAATTGAAATTGGTTTTCTAGTGCATATTTTGAAAGAATGTTAATAATGGAGAAGATGAAAAGTTAAATGTAATTTTCATTAATTTATACAAAAAGAAAGTTTGTATGTCATTGTGATGGCCGTTTATTTTGATGGTGATACTGTTTCATTATATGCAGTACTATATAATAATTATATAAATATTTTTCATATTATGATAATTACTCCTTTATTTGTGTAATCATGCTGAAATAGCTGGTGTCTGTTACATTAAAATAACTCCTGCACTAAATTTGTCTTTTTGAAAGTTTAAAACTAAGCAAAAATATTTTAAAAATTACAAATGTAAAAGATCCTGATAGTTGCTTTCTTTCTATATGTGATTGCAGGTGATTTTTTGAAAACTTTGGAGGACCCAGATCTCAATGTCAGGAGAGTAGCCCTAGTGACATTTAACTCGGCTGCCCACAATAAACCATCTTTGATAAGGGACCTCTTAGATACTGTGCTTCCTCATCTTTACAATGAAACAAAAGTCAGGAAGGAATTAATCAGGGAGGTAAGCTAACTGAGAAGAACAATGCTAAATTTGTAAGTAGGCTATTTTTTAAAAGAAGTGTATTACTTAACTTTTTTTTTATTCACTGACAGGTGGAAATGGGACCATTTAAGCACACAGTTGATGATGGGTTGGACATAAGGAAGGCAGCTTTTGAGTGCATGTATACTCTATTGGATAGCTGTTTGGATAGACTAGATATATTTGAATTCTTAAACCATGTTGAAGATGGTCTGAAGGATCACTATGATATCAAGGTTAGCTGTCATTTTTCTCTGTGAAAGCAGTGACTTTGTCTAAATATTTCAAATGTTGAATAGACTGAAATGGTAAAAATATTGCTTCATGTGCTTAAGTACTTCACTACCTTTGCCATTTTAATTAAATTGTGTCTGTTCAGAAGGTTACACAGCATGGTGGGAAATATATCTCCATATATGTGCCAGGCAAAACTGTTGTTAAATTGGGTTTTTTCCTCACCCTAGATGCTGACCTTTTTAATGCTGGTGAGACTGTCTACCCTTTGTCCGAGTGCGGTGCTGCAGAGATTGGACAGGCTCGTTGAACCTTTGCGTGCTACATGCACAACTAAGGTATTTCAACTTACTTAAGTTCATTGTTTTGTGTTTTCTTATAGAAATATGAATGAACTTTAAAGAATACTTTTGTCCTGCTGCAGTGTTTCCTGAGTTACAGTTGATAAGCTGTAGTAGGCAGGATAATTAGATCAGGAATGAATGAATGGATCTTTGTACAAGAGTTAAATTTATTTAAATTACAGATGGAGAGATAGAATTTTAAGCGTCTTTTTAAAAACCCTCTGATTCTTTGATGCATTTTCTGTTGTTCCTTAAAAATTCAGCTGCCAATGGGACAACTTGTAAATCTCACTAAATAGATTAAACTGGAATATTGAGAGTTTTTCTGACTTCTTATGGTGGTGTTATTTCAGAGAAGCATTAGCTGATGAAGGCAGTGTACAGTAGTTCTTGTTTTGTTAGATTTTTTTTGTCTCGACTTTTGTTAGAGTTTTTGTCATTTACCTCTTCTTCATTAATATTAGAGGATTATTGGATTTTTGTAGTTAGTCTCCTTCCATTCCTGCTTGGTCTTGATTCAACTGCATGCTCTTACAGTCATTTCTTGCCTGATTTACCTTGCTTTTCCATTACTCTAGTCTGCTATATTTCACATAATGAGAATTGACTGCCTTTAATTATAATTTATGTTTGTAGCACTGAAATATCTTTGAGAATAATAACAGAAGGTTAAGCAGTTATTCTAATGAAGGTCAACTTCTTTAAAAGGTTCTGTTCGCTGGAAGATGGGGAGGACTGTGATATTAGCAGTTTAAAGTAATTTACTGACCTTACTAGCTAAAGGCTGGCTGCTGTAGTTGCTTTGATTTGGTGATTGACTTGGCAGCTTACAACTTTTTTCTGCTTACCTTGCTGTGTTGAAGCTTCAGTCAATTTGTAAACTGCTGGTAAAAATTCTGCTAAAAAGATATTTGGGGGTGTTTTTTGTTCGGCTATTTTTTTTAAAAGCGTAGATAATTTTGAGAGGAAGTAGGTTTTTTTAAAGGCATGTTTATTTAAGATTGCTATAGAGGGAGAGTTGAGTAATGTTTCAAATATATTTTCATTTTTTTTCCATAGGTAAAGGCAAACTCGGTGAAACAGGAGTTTGAAAAGCAAGATGAACTAAAACGATCTGCTATGAGAGCTGTAGCAGCACTTCTAACCATTCCAGAAGCAGAGAAGAGTCCATTAATGAGTGAATTTCAGTCACAGATAAGCTCTAACCCTGAGCTGGCAGCCATCTTTGAAAGTATCCAAAAAGATTCATCATCCACTAACTTGGAATCAATGGACACTAGTTAGATGTTTGTCTAATGGGGACCATTATGTTGAACCATATGATGCACTGAATTGACAGGTTATGAGTAAGAAACAGAAAAAGTATCTAATCTACACATTGTCCACTTTATTTACCTTCATGGAGACAGTTGGCTTTTCCCATAATTGCTTTTCTAGCATTTATTTCAGAAGTGTATTTCCATAGTCCAGAGTTTAACCACTCTTGTTTTAGTGGATTTGGCCACATTTGGGAATTAAAAAGTTGAGTCATGGTGTATGGAAATAAACTCCAACATCCATTTGCCCTGTAATGTTTAGGATTAAAATGTCGAAATTTTGTGACCATGATTTTTTTTTCTTTTAGTCATTCTTTCTACTTGTAAACAAAATGGGGGGAGGTGGGAATCAAGTGTCCAGGTGCACCATGTTTTTTGTATGACTTTTTATTATTTTTTTGTTTCAGCTTCGTAAATTGGTTTGACTGGCAGATTAATTATGTGTAAGATTTATTACATTAAAAAGAGTTTGGGCACAGTTCAAAAAGAGCAGACATAAATGTCATTTTTACAGATGTGGGGATTAGAAAACCAATATCCCTGTTGTGCACACTAATTTTGCATGAGCAAGTTTACAAATATATATTGTCTGTAAAACAGCATGTGCAGTTTATTCGTAATACAAGTTAAAATAAGTTCTACTGTATCAGTGCAGTTTTCAGGTATTTTGACATATAGGCCAAGAGATTCATATAGGAAGGGATGAATGAAGGTTTGTTGTCTTAACCTGGCTTTTTAAAATTCCAGTAATATGACCCTGCAGATATTCTTACAGTAAACATGACTATTTCTGCAGTTGTCATGGGTTTTCATTCCCGAAAACTGAATCCACGGGAATTAAGGTGGACAAACCGTAAAATCGGAAGGAAACAAGATGGAGGTAAAATGAGCAGAGAAAACAAGAGCTGCTCAGTGGTTCCTGAACTTGGCACTCAACTTTGCTTTTATGATAAAAGTGTGAAGGAAGTTTCTTCAGTGAATTCTTTCTCCTATTCTTTACCTGACAGCTTTTTTTAAGAACCTAGACAAGTGTTGCCAGACCATAATTTTGTTCTGGCACGTGGCATCACCAGGAGGCTGCAATGCTGCAAGTGCCATACAGTATTCTGGTGAGACAGGAAATGGCCAAAAGGCTGCAGAGAGATAGGGGGCAAACAGAAGAAAACCTTCGGTAGATACACTGAGGTAATTTAGAAATGGACCAGAAGTGGATAGCTGGCAGTCCCAAAATGAACTGGATTTGGGAATTTAATAACAAAAAGATTGGGGACCACTGCCTCGTTACTTGTTTAATGCAACTGCTTAGTTGTCTTTTTTTTTTTTTTTTCTTCTCCTGAAGTCAGATACGAATTTGAATTTTTTTAGTTAACTGGTCTTTTTTAGCTAGTTTGATATTTTGGAAACCTGTTACGTGGGTGCGTAGCATAAACTCCTACGGGACTGAAAAAGCATTCATTTTTAAGACCTTAGTGACAGTTTCCTGTGAGCACTGAGGCTTGGGGGCAAAATCTTCAGCTTACATGCTTGCAGCTTGGGAAAAGCAAAGGAGATATTGGTACATTTTACTTTAATAGAAGGACCTGAACAAAGAAGTCCATGAACTCATTCAATAGTAACAATTCTAATGCTGTAGAAATTTTTGAAAATGTAGCTTTCTCTGTCTCCAAAGTCTTCATACTAATGTAACAATTGTCTTCTAGAAGTAGAAATAAATGAGATTAAACATACAAACATATCTAAATGTCATGAAAAGGATTGGGATGACTAGAGAGAAACCATACAGTAGAAAAAGCACTGTGAATTAGGTATATGTTATCTTACTATATAAATCATTACTTTAATTGCAGCAATATACAGGCCTCCTATTTAAGAATCTGTTGTGCTAAATAGTTGTCATATTAATTTTTAAACTTTTTGCGTTAAGTTTTCAAAGTATATTAAAATGTTTTCTAGATCTAAAGTTAGATGTGAGAATGGTATAAACATGAACTGTGAGGCTAAAATAGGAAAAGGGAGTAGGTGACAATGGTAAATGAACAGAATATTTGTAGTTGAGACATCTGTGTGTGCTTATGCACTACCATAACAAACACCTGATGTGGTGGAGGCAGATCATCTTCACTTTGTTTTACAGTACTTTACAGTGGAGCAAGCTGAAGGACAGAAGGGAAGGTTGAGCTCTGTTACATTGTGAATGCTTTCTTGCAGAAGGGTAATCTTCACTTTGACCACTGACAAAGCAGGTGGGAACATAAGAACTAAGTCTTCCCTGTAAATTTCAGAAATTCTGAGTGTGGTTGTCTCCACGTAGCAGTTAGTTATTTTGGTGACGTGGGAAGACTAATTCATAAAGATTGTAACTGCACCATAATTACTGAGATAATTTATCCGTACCAAAATCTAGGCCTGTTAGGTGTTGAAATTCCACTCAATTTTGCTGGATCACTAGATTGAAAGTTTTCTTTGGTTTTCCTTCTGTGTATCCAAGTACTAGGATAAATCTGGTGTGTTTATGCTTTTAGATCAATAATGTTCATGTAATTCTGTTAAAGATGATGTCAGGAATACCTGTAGCTGTTTTTTAAATGCTAAGTATTTGAAAATGAAATAGGAAATTTCTCTCACTAAAACAAAACCAGCATTCTGAAAGGCTGCTCTCAGGATGTTTGGTAAAATTAGAACTTTCTCTAGTATTTTTCATTACTTTGCACACAGACAGTTGAGACCAATTAACAAGCTTGTGCATAATAGAAAAATTGTTGGCCAGTCCTCACATTAGATTTTTGGGTTAAAATATTTTTGTATCTCAAAAATACTTCATGCTCTGTTTTTTAGTGAAAGAACTTGCCATCCTTACAAGAGAGTTTTTTTCTAAAATTATAAATTGAAACCTACAAATACTTCAAGAACGCTGCACTTCAGTAATGTAAATTTAATTTTTATATAATTTTCATTCAAAGTATGGCACCTAATATAGCAGTTGACAAAATAAAGAGAGCTGTACTACTTCAAGTTGTATTTTTTGAGGTGTACAAAACAGCACATAGCCATGTAAACAGCATTGCTTCCCTCAAATGAAGGATTATATTTAAATGTCATGAACTTGAAGATAGGAATTAAAAATCCATATCTGCTCCTGTTGTATTTGCCTTAACAAATGTTCTCAATAATGAGGCTTGGAACAAGTTCACCCTGCACTGGTGGACTTAGTAGTAGGGATTTAGCAACTGTTCTCATACTTACTGGTACTTCTTCTCCATTACCTCCACTTTAAAAAGCAAAGTAACATGTGGCCTTGGATGTGTGTGTGTGGGTTGTTTTTATTTTGTGAGTCCTGATCGTTCTGACTGAAATAATATTTGTTTCTGCCAAACAGTTAAACTTGCAGCCTCTGAGTTTTATTTTCCTGTTGCTCTAAACTTCAGATAAAATGTCTATTTTGTTGCTGTTTTTAAAATTAATTCTGAAAAAATGAAAAATACTAGTCAGTGTACTACTTTTTTTTTCTCTCTTTGTTTCCGCCTTGCTATGAGAAGGGAAGATTTGAGTGCTGCACTACTGAACATGAGCAGGTAGAAATTCTGGCAGCAAGTGTTGCTCCCTCCCCTAGAAGAGCTCTTGGGTATATAACTCTCACATTTAAGTCCACCTTCTTCATCAGTATCCATTTATAATTTTTCATTGTATTTGAGTTTGGGGAGGGAGTTCTTAAGAGCAATGAAGTAAATTAGTCTTCCATGAGCAGTGAAAATGCCTAACATTATCTAGGGACAAAACAAAGTTATGTGTTCCACAGAATTCCATGGAATGTGGCTTCATGGAAATCTTTCTCCTGCCCTTCACTTTCACTAGCTCAGCTTGCCAGTAATGTGTTTTGAATTATAACAGCTGAATTCTGCCTACTGTTGGAATGTATGATAGGAGCTACTTTGATTTTTTTCTCTCCACAGCTGGCAACTTTGAAGTGTTAGTCACATTTGACAGAAGGAAAAAAAAAATTGGATCTCCCATCATCAACTCCCTTTCAAAGTCTAAGAATATGACCGTATTTTTTTCCAAATATGGAGATGATCAAATGAATCTTTTTAAAGAGGAATATTCTAAACTAAAGTTACGATGTTCTTGTTTCTCCTAATACTGTAAGCTGAAAATCCATGACTGGTTTGAAGTGTGACTTGTTTGTAAAAACCATCTTATCATCAAAATTGAAGTGAGGAACAGAAGATGCAGTTGGATAGTGATGGTTGATTTCAATATCTTGGCAGGGGGCAGCCAAAATGAAATACTAAACTCTGTGCTGCTTTTGCTTTTGGTACCAGTTTGGGCATATAAAGTTGAGTTCAACTCTAATAAAATGTTATTTTAGCAAGAACAGGTGTTATCTCCAGGTAGCCAGTATAAAGATTAAAGAAGTGTTTGACATAGAAGATTATACACTGTTCTGACAGTGACCTTGCCTTAGCTGTAGATAATTTTCTAGGGAGATGACTAATTATTCTTGCAGTTCTTCACTCCAAACTTTGAAAAAAAGAGAAAAAACCCCACAATTGTATAATTTTGTAGTGGTGTTGGTATTTGATTTCTGAATGTGAATTCATTTGAGTGTCATTCAGCCTTGTGTATCCAGTCATTCTGTGGTTGTACAAGATAAATTGAGAGGTTATTTATACATGGAGAAAATGTTTTGAATGGTTTGAATACATGTATTAAAGTTGAAACAGTTGGATTCATCAAGGGCCATGTAAAGACAAAAAATTTTCTGAAATAGTAGAAATTTTTAATTGTCTATGAATTACTTATTTCAGGCCTGTTAGGTGGCTGAACATGGCTGGTTCAGGTAAAATGAGAACGAAGGCAGGCTATTACATAAAAAGGTGAACCTGCATTTGGGTGCTGTTTGCCAAATGTTTTGTATTTGTTGGTCTATTTTCCTTAATACTGGTGTCACTAGGCATTTATTACTGCAAAACTGCATAGCGTAGCTGTCAGCACAATAATTGTTACCCAAGTTGTCTTTGGCACAGGAATTGGAAAGAGTGCAAAAACAGTTTGGCAACAGGCTGGGATTTTTTTGTTACATGTCAGCACATGGAAGGGTGGGAAAATAAAAGGTGCATTGGCAGGTTCAGGTACTTCTATAGATGGAGGTCAAGAAGAGCACTGCAGAGTATAATGAGCATTCTTTGGTCAAAGTATTCTTTGTTTGCTCTCCTGAAGTGCATACCAGGAGCAAACAAATTCTGATATGACTGGCCAAATAGACCTGGTAATATCCTGGACATCTGTGAGATCAATCAGACCTCCTAGCTGAGAGAACAAGTGTCTCCTTGAAACTCACAGAAGAGAATCAGACCTGTTGGAAAGAATCCCCAAAGGTTGCCATTGCAATATGGATGTCATTTTGTATGCTTTTAGCTACATTGTGTAGGAAAGGTACGTTCTGTACTGCAGAAAGAAGAGAACATGGGAGCTTCTTTCACAGTGTGCTTCCAAGCCCAGGTGCAGTGAGGACCCATAGTTGTGTGTAGTGTGAATGCTGAGCAGAATATGCTGTTGTGAAATAGAGGCGATGTGGTGGGAGAAGAGGTCTGTCATGGCATCATTCAGTTCGTATTTCAATGGGTAATTTAAGTGGAAGTACAGAAGCTTTGTTGTACTTGAGGTAGCAGAGTAATGCTCGTTTGCAGGTCTGTCCAGTTTGCTGCAAGGATGCAGCATTGTTCATTGCAGAATTGTTCATTGTAATTTTATTAAGTCCACAAATAAATTTCAAGAGAAGGTTTGTCCTAAAAACTAGCTTAATGGATCTTTTGGAGAATTCACTTCATAATTTTTAAAAATTCCCCTGGCAGCAATTAGTAGCTGAAACTAGAATTTAATATTTTTAATAATTCAAATAAATCTATTTCCAAGGAGGAACCTTAAAATACTGCTATAGCACCTAATGAAGTAAAGCAAACAACCATAACGCACAGTTTTTGGGGTCAGCTGAAAGATTCTGCAGGAATCAAGTCAGATTTTCTTCCTATCTCCCGCCTTCAGAAGTACTGAAGAGAAAACTGGGAAAGCATTTGTCTATGTTCATCTCCTTTATTTGAGTTTCAGCATGGTCTAGTGAATAAATATTATTTGAAATCAAGAATGCTTATACTGCTTTTTAAAATAAAAAATACACTTATTTGCAGACTTACTTAGCAGCCTGTTTCAGTTAGCTTCAAAGGAGACCACTTCTCTCATTTCGGAAAGTGACCTGCCAGTTTCTTAAAGTACAGCAATACTTGGAACATACCAAGGAGCAATCTCTCTGGATAGTGCTTTGAAAAGGCAAAAGTTATAATACAAGATTTAAGTATTCATTTGCAGAGTTAGCCTTAAATGTCGCAGTGTTTTTCCTGAGTGTCTGTACTGTTCGTTTACAAGAGAAATGTTCCAACACATGCGCTTTAGGATTGTAAACAGATTATGTCTCTTACTGTCAATGTTTGTTTGCTTTAGGTCACTACAAAACCCACTCTTGCTTGCCCTGTTAAAATCTTGCATACTTTTCTGTAGTTTTGTTCAGTTTTCAGCCTATAGCAATAAAAACACATTCTAACATGAGCAGATGTTAGAGAAACACAGAAGCCCTAGGAAATGTCTGAGGTCTGCATGCAGAATAGTGTGTTTGACTACAAAGATGTCGTATGTAATGCACTCCATTTTGAAGACCAGCTATTTCTTTGACAAAGTAGTGGAAATAGGTTTATTAAAAGTACAGAATCTGAGAACAACATCAGAAGCTTCTTTCATAAATCTGTTCTTACAGCTGCTTGATCGTGTGGCTGAAGAAAAAGCTATTCACTGTGAAGTCTGCGCAGCTTATCAGTGGCCTTTGCCAAAGGAAGATCCAGCTGTTTCTGCCTGCCTGCACCAGTAAATACACTATCCTATGCTGATGAATACATCCTGGTGCTGTAGGTTATTCTTGTGCTCAAAAGCAAGGTGATGTGTTGTGTATAGGGTATTCCTGTAACCCCAAGTTACCCTTTGACCAAGCTTTTTGAATAAAATTTTAGTGCACTGGGATTTTTCTGCAGGGAGCCATGATGCCCAGGACTATTATATTACATTGCTTAGATCATAAAAATCGCGATAATTTTTTATTTTTGCCTTTTTCATAAAAAACCTTAAATATCAAGCTTTGAAACATTTTAATGAAAGGAAAGTGTTTTAAGTAACTAAGTTTTTTGTTGTTGTTGTTGTTTCTTCTGTCTGGAAACAATTATTATTTATCTTGATAATGCCAATAGTAACCCTAGGCTGATAAAGTGTGTGCTTTATGCCCCATAACAAAGTTTTCAGAATGCTCCATAAATATAGCAGAGAGCCTAAGACTATTAATGTCACATACAGCTGCAAGATTAAAATACCTGCTTGCTAGTAATTCTTGATTAATGTCTTCTGTTTGTTCAAGAGGCTCTTTAACACTTTAAAATGTCCACGAAGTATCTGTGCATATGTGTACACATATATCTGAGAATGAATGAGTCTTTCTGGGGGTTCCATCTTTCAGTGTTTTAATTTTTTAAAGTTACTGTTCCTCCTGGATGATCAGCATTGCATTTATAGAAGTTACATCAATCATCTGATTAAAAGGACAATTCTTTGGTATTTTTCCAATGCTACGTGTTAAACCATTTAGTAATATTTTATTTTTTAAAAAAGCTAAAATTAACTCAGACAATGGCATTTTTTTATGTGAAAGTATTTTTATTGGTAATAGTTTCTCAGTGTTTTTGTAAAACAGTGAAACACACACAAAAAAATTGTTGGAGGTATTTTGATTTCATCACTGGTGTTATTAACCTTTTGGACCTTGGGTTTTATGCCTTCTGACCAAAAGGCATATGTACCTCTTGGACCAGAAACCCTTTCATTTTTATTTGAACCAGAGAATGGCCAGATCTGTTTGAGCAGGCTTGTGCTCTCCCAGTGCTGATTCTATAAAAATAAATCTTGTGTTACCTCTTAAAAGTGGAGTATGAGCTAAAATCAACCTCTTTATTCTTTCCCAGTGCTCATTATTGCAGTAGAGCTACTAAGAAAAAAAAGGTCAGCAGTTTCTTGTTGTGCCTATCCAGTTGCTTCAGGTGGGTGCGCTGGCAGAATCCACTGTGTAAGCTGGTTCTGCGGGCACAGTGATTTCGGGAAGATTTCGGGAGCGGTTGCAACGAGTTGTGTTCTTCCAGGAGATGGCACTGTAACCGCATTAACAAACGCCAAACAAACGGAGGGGGGAGCCAGCGAGATTTCACCCATGAAAAATTGCAGGTATTTGAAGAAGGGATTTGAAATGGATCTGGTGGATTTTATTTTTCTTGACAAGCTACTGAAATTTTCTGTTAAGACTGGCTTGCTTCAAAGTTCAATCCTTTGCAAGCTATTTCTAAGGTTCACTTCTGTACTGTAAATTTTGTCCAAGTTAGTGCAGGTGTGTGGCCACCAGGCAATACTCCTGTAGCCAGATGTTTGCTGGTGGTCCAGTCTGGGTGGCTGGCTACTGCTGCAAGGAGTGCAGTAAATCCCTGGGCCTCTCTAGCTGAGTTACATGGCTGAAAAAGCAGATTTCATAGCATGGTTCCTTATTTTCTTTCTTACCTTGCTAATGATTTCCCTTCTTGCAGGCTTTCAGCAGTCAGCTGTAATGGAATGGTGGCTCTTAACATGGGAGACCTCACAAAATTAGGTTTTGGATTCTGGTGAGCATATGGATGTGTCAGCAGTGATTGCCTTCCCATGAATGAGTGCATTCACTTCTTAAGTGGTAAAATTTAGGTGTTTGGGCAACAGTACACTGACTTACTTTCCAGATCTGGAGTTTAAACAAGAGAGGATTTAAAATTTATGTTTATCATCTAAGTTGCTCTGGTAACCAAAAACTTGTTTTTAATTTTTAAATTTTATTTTTTTAAATTAAATTTTGAAATACTGTTTTTCAATTTGACCATAAATGAAACAAAATATGCACCAAGACCCCAATTCCAATGGTAATATTTTTGATGCTGCAGGACTGGGATTTCTGTTCCGAAAAAAAATGACCAAAAATGAGAAAAACTACTAATCTAGAACCAACTGTATGTGTTTCTAATGAACCACAACTTGTACCATAATTGTAAGAAAAGCTGAGGAAGGTAAATTCCCAGCAGTTGTCCCTGGAGATGTCTGTGCAAGCACACAGCAGCCTCAGGAGCTCGCAAACTCATTTGAGGTGGTTTTGGCAGGCCTGCTTTTCATGCTGGAAGTACTGAAATAAATGCTGCTGTATCAGATGCTCTTAGCGATAGGATTCTACAAAATTCAAAACATAAAATTATTTTATTTGAAATATACAAATACAAATGTGTGGATAAAAAAATAAAAATAAAAAGCCCCAAGAATCTGATCGATCCTATGAATCTCTGTACTTCATGCTGAACACTGAAAAGGGAGTGATTAGTATTTTGAATCATCTGTCCGTACTGCAGTAATGGAGCAGAAATGACTGGAGATGGAGGCTTGCTTTCTGCTCCAGGCAGCAGTAGAGGCAGAAAGAAATCTGTCAAATCCAGGGAGCACAAACACTGACCAAAACACGTCCTTGCAGATTTCTTCTCAGCCACTGCTATGAGAGATAGCAGAATTTGGATGTCTAGCTGGAACTCATTTTATCTCACTTGTAACCATTTTTTGTATTTTCAGTAATGCAGAGGGTTTTGTTTTATTTGTTTACTTTTTCAGCCATTATCCTGGTTCTCAAGCCCTCAGAGCAGCACTTTTCTCTTAGGTGCCCACTGCTCACACCAACACCAGACCAATTAAAAATCCTGGATGCCTTTATTGTCTGACTGAGGAGTAAGTTTTGTCCAAGGATAGTACAATGTCTATCATCACACTGCATTAGTGTTGTAAAGGAGTTTTGGTTAGGGTCTTGTTAACAGGGAAAAAAGGCAGAGCAGCAAGCATTGAACTCAGGTGTCAGGGAAGCTGCAGAGACACGGCTGTGGACTCACTTCTCACTGCCTATTCCCAGCTAGGGTCCTGGGCACATATTGTTAGTTTCCCAGTATCTTGAAGGAGTTTATTCCTTTTCCATCAAGGAGATCTTGAGGGAGAAGGTCTCATGCCAAAAAGGACTAGTTTGGTGAGTTGAAGTAGATTCTGATTTTCTAACTCATCCAGCCATCCTTGCTATTTTGCACTCTTGCTTAAGCTCAAGAAGCCTGTGCTCCTCAGTGGCTTCCCCTGTGATGCTCAGAGCATACAAGATGCCCATCAGCCTCCTGGTTTTGTTTGGAGCTTCCTGTTCAGTTTAGCACTGTTTGTTCACAGCTGTTCCCCTGCAGAGGGATTCCTTTGCTCAGCAGGATCTAAATTCATCACTCTTCTGCTGACTCAGTCTCTTTGAGCCCAGAACTGTCCCTGGTATTCCTTTACAATGTTCTCAGCAGAAGTACATGGTGTCTTGGCTTCTGTGGCAGATCAGCAGTTTCCTTATCTGATAGGATGTGTCTCTCTGATCGATCTAATTTTTCTGAATTTCACCTAAATTGAGGGTTTCATTCACTGAGTGGTTTCTCCTGCCAAGTACAATGCAGGGAGCAACTTCAACTTCTGTCTCCGAAAAACAGCTTCAGAATGAAACTGAAACAAAATTTGTGAAGATTTTGAAGATGATACAGTTAAAAATTTGTTTACTCTCATGTGTATGGAAACCGGGCTCTGTGTGCTTGCTTGGGGACTAAATGTAATAAAAATAAATGCTAATCTACCCAAACATTATAGCTGAAAAACTGCTGAAGAAAACTGCAGCTTGGGTACCTGAGGGAAAAAAGGAAAGGAAGACTAGCTTTTGTATATATTTCAAAACCCAAGTTATAAATACACTCTTAAGTTGACCTGCCACCTGGATATGCTAATGCTCCAATTGTTTAGACTGCCCTCAGAACTTGCTGGATTTTCCAGAACCTAGTTTCAACTACAAGTTTTGCCTTACAGGAACAGCCTGGATTTAAGGCATCAAAATTGCAATGAATTTACTAAGATGGTGACAATTTTTTTTGTATTAACAGCTTGTCAAGGATGACTCTTAACAGTGCTCTCAGAGTAAAAAATACCAACATAAAATTTATCTTAGTTAAAACAAAATTAAAGTCATCTGACAGAATTGACTTTTTCTCATTCATGAAGTGATGCTCTAAATATCATCCCTTTGTCAGAAGATGAGGGAGGCAAGGGGTGCCCCCACTGCTCCCAGACACACCTTAACTGGAAAGGAAAACTGGAACATCCTGAGGCTTGAGAAATTTCATAAAGAAGAAAGATACTTTTTAAAGCATGCACTACTTGACTGCTCAGTACTTATTATGGAACAGTTTTGTACTAATTAGCATGTTTATGCGGTTTCTGGAAGAACCAAAGCATATAAAACTGCAGAGAATGTCATAAAACTGACATGCTTGAGTGCTTTCAGCTACCAAGAAGTGAATGGGTAATTTTAGATGTACATACAAGCAATGAGGAGCTTATTTTCAGGCTTCAAATGTACCCCTGTGTGTGGAGGTCCAATATGATATGGCAAATATTGGAGTAAAAATAAATAGTCCATTAAAAAAAAACCCCTGTATCTAGCTGACAAAGCAAAAACTCACTACGTTCATGTAATGTTAAAAGTCAATGAGAAAAAAATGTTTGAGATTTAAACTTTTATCTCATGATTGAAATTCAGTGGGAAACAGTTTAGTGCCACTGGTTAGA